TGTATAAAGTTTAACCATAAATCTATATAATATAAAAAGTTAATATTATTTGATATTACAATGTTGTTAACGTATAAAATCAAGATGATGCAAACGAACCAATTGGAGCTTTCTCAAATCCACAAGCTTGTTCATAAAGCCAAATTAAATGAGCTTTAGAATTGGATGTAGAGGTTGATGAGCCTTCTAAGTATTCTTGTTCAATTTCAATACATGTTTGATAAAATTTTAGAGTTGGCAAAGTTTTATTGAATAAACTAAAAGAGTTTTTTTTTAAATTAGAATTTTGATATATTAATATACAGTCTAAGTTTTAAGAAAAAGTACCTCATATAAACTTTGCGAGCCTTTTCTAATCCTCCTTTCTCTACGGCCCATTTCAAATATTTCGTCGTAATTTGATCTTTAACTTCGTTAGGTTGATAATCGTTATCATCTTTACTCTTATGAGTACTTTGTAATAACGAAGATATTTTAGAAATCGAATTCTATAACATAATAAAATTAAATTAGCAAATTCCAATTGTTAAAAAATATTTATTTAGAAATACAAATACGTTATTTACAAACCAATAACAAATTTTCTAATTCCATATCTTTTAAATCACCATACTTAAATATCCAAGAAAGATAAGAAACCCATAGTAATAAAGAGGCAGGATTTAATTTTAATGATAATTTATATAATTCGTCAATTGATTCTCTTTCTTCATTAGAATCAAAATAACTAATAACATTAATTCTTTTTTCCCATAGTTTTGAATTATTGGGCCAAGTATCTGTAGCTTTCTTCAATAATCCTTTAATTTTCTCATATTTTACATCATCTTTTTCTAAAATCCAATTTATCCAATCTAAATACATTGATGATGATGCTAAATTGGATCTTGCAGCATTTTTATAAGTTATAGATAATTTTTTATTTAAAAAAGAAACCTAAATTTTTTAAAATAAATACAAATATATTAGTCATAATTCTTGTATGTAAAAGAAATTTTATATCATGACTTACCAGATTGGGTTCAGAAACCATATGTAAATATTTTAATAGAAATTGCGAATACATATACCACATTTCATAATTAGGAAATTTCTATTGTTATATAAAAAAATTAATATCTTAATCAAGTAATTATGTTTCATCTGCGAATGAATAAAATATAATCCAACCTCAATACATTCTTGAAATTCATCAATACTATGCTTAATTGCATTTATGAATTCGGTGCTTTGCACATCAGAAATATTATCTACATGTCTTTCAATAACATATGATAAAGCTTCTGGATTACTTTTAAAGTCTTTTCGTATACTATAACAGAAGAAGTTATTAATAATCATTTATGTAAATTTAAACTAAATTATCGTATAAGCGTACCTTTCATAAATTTCTTCTTGAACCACCTTTATATCAGAGAATTCTCGGCAAACATTAACAAACTCTTTTCGAAAAGACAAATCATTAGGAATAGCTTTAATAGCATTAAAATAAACAACTTTAGAAAGTTCTCCCCGAAACAATAAATTATCATCATCTAAATTAATTTCTTGTACACGATCTATTCCTTCTAGATCTAATTCCTTTGCTTTTAAAAGATCATCATCTGCTATCTTGATAAAATTTTGAGAATCTTCGTAGTCGTTAAATTCTTCATCTTTATTGTTGGAAATTCCTAAAATCCTTCTACGAGCTTTTATTTTTTCGACGTATACTAATTCAAGTTTGAAATACTGATGCCATAATTGATGAGAATCGCAATTTAATCGAAGACCACGTTGTAAAAACACTTAATTAATAAATATTATTATTTAATATCGATTAGTAATTAATTTAAAAGTATCACGTGATAAACCCGAATTTACCTCTAGCAGACATTATATTAGCATTAACTTCATACTCATATTTTGATGCCATTATCCAAAATATTGGTTTAGTTGGATGCAATTGTAGAACACTATAAAATAACCCAATATTGAAATGAATTATTCCCTTTAAGATACAAAATTTAAATAGAATCGATTTTACCTCCCAAAGATCTTACCAAGCATCTTATCATCCCCTTCGTTTTTAGCAAAATCAATATATTGTAGCCATAGTTTAATATCACCTTTAAATTTAGTTACCGCCCTGTCAAAAATAAAATATATTCTTCGTTTTATTGAATAATCAGATATTGTGACTTTTCTCTTGACACCTATTATTTATTCATTATAATTAATTTTATTATAATTACAATTAAATTAATGCATCAAAGATAGTACTTACATAATCGCTCTTTTCTTTTTTTTCTTAATATATCTAAATTCATTTCATACTCTATATATTTTAAAAAATCGATGACTCGTGCTGGTCTTCTTTTAAGTGCATATTCAAATGCTGTTCGTTTCTTTATAACCGACTTTATTTCTTCCTAAAAAAAAAAAATTTAAACAGTGTGTATATTTGTTTTTAAACATTAACAAATCAGTAGAGAATTTAAACCGACTTTTGTGAATATTTCTTTACGTTCCAAGTCCTCAAGCTCAGGGACCATTTGTTCAAGGTAATATTGCACCTTCTCCGCCATTTTTTTTTTTAGAGAAAAATGTGAACTGATAATCAATTTGATAATTTATCAAAAAAAAAAAAAATTTGTGGCGATTTTCATTGGTTTGATTAACTAATTACAAAAAATTTTGATGAGCTAATAAACGAATTTTTCTGGTTGGATCAATTCCAACATTGATTCTTTATTATATGTATTGATAAATAAATACGAATACTATTCTCAAGTATACTGCGGGATTTCCCAAGAAAAAAGTTCGCAATTCACTATAGAACGCAGTATTTAATTGATTGTGGGATATTAAAGATAAAATTAAAATTTGAATTAGTTTTCTGGATTTCTTCGTATGATAAAAGCTCAGTTGTTTGGCTAGACGCGATCTAAATTATCTGTCAACAAGAAATAACGAGAAAATTTTTACAATAACATTAAACCAACTTTTTAACGACTAGGTATTATTTAGATGACTTTTGGAAAGTTACTAGACTTTTATGAAACATAGTGATATGGCCATTTGGCTTTCATATTGTATGGATAACGAGTCAAAAAAAAAAAAATTCAAAATACGACCGAGTATAAAGAAAAAAATACAGATTATTTATTTGATAAAGAATAAATAATAATTTAAACATCAATTTTGATAAATGAACCTTTTTTTTTTTTTTTTTGAAAGAGGCTTTTATCTAGGGATGTTAAAAAGTCCCATGGGACTAGGTCCTAAACAGTCCTACGAAGTCCGGTCCAGTTCAAAGTCCTTTGAACTATAGGACTGCGGTCTTATAGAAAAATAATCGTTCACGTCGAACGATTTCTTATCGTTGTTCTTGAACGATTTTTTTTATCGTTCAAGTCGAACGATTCCTCATCGTTCTTGAACGATTTTTTTATCATTCAAGTCGAACGATTTCCTATCGTTCTTGAACGATTTTTTTATCGTTCAAGTCGAACGATTCCTCATCGTTCTCTTATTTCTTTTATCATTCAAGTCGAACGATTATTTTTCTATAAGACCGCAGTTCAAGGACCGCAAGTCCTAATTTCTATAGGACCGCAGTCCTAGGACTGTAGTCTCGGGACCTGGTCCTAGAATCCAGTCCTAGGACCCAAGTCCTATGAACCGGGTCTTCTTTAGGACTGGGAGTTTCGGGACCGGACTAAGACCGGACTGGATTTTAACATCCCTACTTTTATCTTACAATTTATAATAAAAACAGTTGATTCACGTATACCGCTCTTCCTATTCGAATTTTTCTTTGTTCTCACAAGTTCTTAAAATGGAGAATGAATTATTTGGAAATGTTATATTATAACAAAATACGATCCATCCGTATTATTACTATAAGAACTTAATTTTTGAGCCAAATTAGCTAAAATGGTAGAAGTTTCTGAATACCATTTTCTACATCGAATTGGTCAAAAACTACTGATTCAAAATTAACAAATTAAATTTCTGCTGATTCTTGACAGGACCTGATTACGAAGTTATCTCATTAAGATAATCGTATCGTACACTTTTGGGAATAATTCTCCTAAGTGTAACTATGTACTTTTTTTAACAATGTGGTACTGTTATAATTTTATTAATTAAAGTCAAATTATACAAATATTGAATTAAATAAACATAATTAAAATAAAAGTAAAACAATAAACAAAAACTATAACTATTCCTCGTAGTTTTATTTCAAACCTGTTTGAATTGACCAATCACTGAAAATTCCCTCTAACTAACCAAAAGATCCATATCTGATGATTAAATTTTCAATAGGAAAATCAAATGAAATTGTCTGTATCTGTTAAAAAATCAAGCTATGTAAAACCATACTGTAATACAGAACCAGTCTAGTCTTTTCAGAAATTAGAGTTTTTAGCAGATGATCTAGGGATAGGTGATCTTTTTAATCTATTATGTGTTTTTTTCATCTTTGCTGAAATCCCTTTGAGTTTTTCTATTTTGTTCATTTTAGCATATCTGAGAACTCAGATTTTTTCATAAATGAAAGATATAAGAAAGTTGACAAAATAGATTAAGATATCTGTCACATTCAACAGAGAGAATAGTCTTCTGAGTAGATGAAAAAATAAAGTTGATATGATTCCTTTTAAAAGAGATACAAAGAAATCTAAATTGATTGAGGGATTAAAAAATTCTAGGATCAGTTGTTTAATATCTATGTAAGATTTATATCTTTCTTCATTTTTCCCTAATTTAGATATTATATAAGAATTGATGAATTGTTACAAAAAAGAAATAATCTTGAAAATGATATCAGTTCTATTTGGATAAGATTATAATCTTCGTTTAAAAGGTCACAAGTAACACATTTTCAATTGAAGTAAATATCTAGGCGATAGATGGTAAAGTTGAAAAGAGTTAGTAATTCATTTAATAAGGTTTTAATTTTAAAAGCTTTCTTTTTTCTTTACTTAAATGAAGTGGTTGCTATAGTTTCATCACCATTTATATTAAGTACTTTAATAGTACTATTCTAGTGGATATTGAGCTGTTATGACAAACTTAAAGATAGAAATTTCTATTTAAGTCTAATCAGAAAGAGAATTGAAGAGAAGCATTTAAATTCTTCTTAAAGATGATTCTATTGAAATATTGTTGAAATTAAGGTGAAGTTGAAGGTCATCAAAAGTGATGTAATTTAGACTAAACACTGATTTAAATATACAATTCTTAGCTAATTTATCAGCAATTTCATTATAAAAATCTCTTATGTGTCCTTTAATTTTAATAAGTTTGATAGAGAGTTAGAGGTCTTTGACGATTTAGTGAATCATAATTCACACTGTATAATTAGATCTTTTCTCTAATTTTTATTGTAGTATTATCATTAACAATAAAATTATTGAAGTCATCGATTATAGCTTGACTATCTAAAAAATAAATATAGTGACATTTGAGAAACAAACAATAATAGTTGTGAGGAGAACGAAGAGTTTTGCTTTATTGATGATAGTAGTATTTCATATAGATTCAGATCAGATCTGTCAGATTCAGATCTAATTCAGATTCAGATTCAGGTTTAGATTTAAATTCAGATCTGATCTGTCAGATCTGAATTCAATTTTTTTAAAGCTAAAAAGTTCTTTTTCAATGAAAAGAAATGAATTTTCAGACTTCTTTTAAAGCTAAAAAGTTCCTTTTATTGAAAAAAAACGAATTTTCAGATCTCTTTTAAAGCTAAAAAGTTTTTCATTAAAAAGAAACAAATTTTCAGATTTCTTTTAGAGTCAAAAAATTTCTTTCATTGAAAAGGAACAAATTTTCAGACTCTTTTAGAGCTAAAAAGTTTTTTTTATTAAGAGCAAATGAATTTTCAGATATTTTAGAACTAAAAATTTATTTTTTTTATTAAAAAGGAATGAATTTTCAGATTTCTTTTAGAACTAAAAAGTTTCTTTCATTGAAAAGGAATGAATTTTCAGATCTTTTTTAGAGCTGAAAAGTTTCTTTCATTGAAAAAGAACAAATTTCATTCTTTTAAAACTAAAAAGTTCCTTTCATTAAAAGGAAACAAATTTTCAGACACTTTTAGATTTGAAAATTTATTCCTTTTATTGAAAAGATGAATTTTAGATCACTTTAGAGTTAAAAAGTTCCTTTTATTGAAAAGGAATAAATTTTTAGATCTCTTTTAGAGCTGAAAAGTTTCTTTTATTGAAAAGAAACGAATTTTTGGATTTTTTTTAGAGTTAAAAAGTTCTTTTCATTAAAAAGAGCAAATTTTTAGACTTTTTTAAAGCTGAAAATTTGTTTCTTTTCATTGAAAAGGAATGAATTTTCAGATTTCTTTTAGAATTAAAAAGCTTTTTTTATTGAAAAGTAATGACTTTTCAAAACTCTTTTAGAGCTAAAAAGTTTCCTTTTATTGAAAAAAAATAAATTTTTAGAACTCTTTTAGAACTAAAAAGATTCTTTACATTGAAAAGAAATAACTTTTTAGAACTCTTTTAGAATTGAAAAGGTTCTTTTCATTGAAAAGAAACATTTTCAGATCTCTTTTAGAACTGAAAATTCATTTTTTTAATAAAACTTTCAGATTTAGATTGGATCAGATTTAGATTTAAACTGATCTGTCAGATTTAGTTTTGAGATTTGATCCGTTAGATTCAGATCAGATCTGAATTTCAACAGATCTGTCAAATTTAAATCAAATTCAGATCCTGAAAAATGAAAATCAGATCAGATCAGATTTGGATAAAATCTAATCTGATCTAATTTTATGGAACACTAGATAATGGTAAATTAGTAATTGATGTTGAGAAAGATAGCTACAAATTGTCAATAAGTTCAGAGCATATCAATTCAAGCCTTATTTTGCACGTTTTGAAGCTAGGTTAATTAAAGAACCATCTTTATAAAATAAAAGTGTTTTATTTGTTGAAGGGATAAAGCAAAGGAGATAAGTTAATCTTGATAATATTTTTCTGTTTACACAATTTCTAATCAAATTTTTATTAATAAATAAAGGATTTAAAAATTGTAATAATGTAGTCATAGTTAAAGGATAATCAGTGAAGTCAGTTGAAATTAAGCTAGCATTTTTCTTTGTTAATTTATAATTATATATTTCTAATAGTTAATACAGTAGATGCAATATAATTTTGTAATTAATCTTTTTATCAGAATGTTAATTAAAAGTTGTTTCAATAATTACTAGATTTTTGGATTTTCAATTACATACACAAGAAATATTTTTTATAAGAGCGAAAGGTTTATTTAAATAATCTAGAGGATTAGTACAAAACTCTAAGAGAGGTAGTTTATTTAAAGTGTATTCTTCACATAGTTTAATCATTCTGATGTTGAAAGAGTTATTTAATAAATGATAATCTTTGTTTTAATGTAATGTTATATAATCACTGTGTTCTATTCTTTGAATTTTTTAATAACATATTTGATAATTATCTGATTTATAAAGGAATAATAAGCTGTAATAAATTCTTTCTTTTTATAATTATCTAAACCAAAATTTATATAAGTATTACTATTATAACTATTATTATTTGAT